AAATTTATAAATAATGTTTTTGGCGCAGGTGCTTAAGCATTACGAATACACTCGATCATTTTAATGCAAATTTTGTGACTCACACCGACCGTGCCAGCATGTGTTAACAAGCAAATTAATTTCATAATTAGCCTGTCCTGCTCAAAAATATGTCAGAAAGATCGATTTAAAACAAACTGTTGCGATAGGCCCATCATTCTGCAGTACTTTACCTCCTCCCTCCCTGCACTCTCATGATTATTCTTCAGGAAGAGCCCTCAATTTCTTCTTAAAACTGGGGGTATTAGCTACGTTCACGAACCTTGTGCGGTCCCCAGCGGTCTTACAATCCCCCCCCCCCCCCTGAACGCCAGTTGTTTCGTACGCTTTAGGGTGAGAGCGTAGCACCGAGGGGCCAGGAAGATCCCCAATTTCTTCTTGAAACTGGGAGGTATTGCCCCCGGTGCTACGTTCTCGTCCTAAAACGTTTCATCCTCATTCTTCATGAAGGTCTTCTTAAACTTAGGGCGTATTCCATACCCCCAGAGTTATATTCTCATCACAAAACGTTTACAGCCACCACCGTCCTCATAATCACAAGGAGGGAGGGAAATACTCCCCGGATAAGGAGAAATTGCGGGCCCTTCCCGAATAGTTATGAGAGCGTCGGTGATTCTAAACATTCTAGGGTGAGAACATAGCACCCGGGGTCTTTAATGCCAAATTGGGAGCTGTCTAAACAATGGTTATCAAAGGATTCATTCTTCAGGGAGATTCGCTCATTTTTTCTGATTCTGGGGAGTGTCCCATACCTCCCAGAAGACTTCCTCTCATGACAATTCTTCATAAAAATCCCCAGTTTTTTGAAAAAACTACCCCCCAGTGCTACGCTCTCGTCCCAAATCGTTTACAGCCACCAGCGTTCTCATGATCATTTTTCAGAAAGAGCCCCCAATTTCTTCTTATAACTGGGGGTTATTCTATACCTCCCAAACCCCAGGTGCTATGTTATCAGTAGGAAACCAACCCTTTCTTGATTACACTGAGGGAGAAAATCGCGGGCCCTCCCTGAAGAATTTTAATTATAGCGCCGGGCCGGTGGTTCTAAACGTCTGGGTCTGGTGGGAAACCCCCCAGCACAAGAGGTTCTGATTCTGGTGAGTGTCCCATACCTCCCAGAAGACCTTCTCTCATGATAATTCTTAATTAAGAGCCCCCAGGCCCCCCACGGTGCTACGCTCTCGTTCCAAAACGCTTACAGTCATCAGCGCTTTCAAGATCACACGGAGGAAGGAAATTGCGGGTCCTCCCTGAAGAATTATAATTATAGCGCCGGTGATTCTAAACGTTTTGGAGTAATAAGGTAGCAATTGAGGTCTGCATAAACAATGATTATGAGAGGATTCATTCTTCAGGACGATTCACGAATTTTTTCTAATTCTGGGGAGTGTCCCAAACCTCCCAGAAGAACTCCTCTCGTGATAATTCCTCATGAAGAGCCCCCAGTTATTTCTTATACCTGGATTACTCATACCCCCAGTGCTGCGCTCTCATCACAAAACATTTGCAGCCACCAACGCTTTCTTGATCACCAGGAGGGAGGAAATCGCGGGCTCTCCCTGAAGAATTATAATTAGAGCTCCGGTGGTTCTAAACGTTTTGGAATGAGAACGTAGCACTGGATAGCACAAGAAATTAAGAGCTGCATAAGCAATGATTATGAGAGGATTCATCCTTCAGGAAGATTCCCTAATTTTTTCTGATTTTGGGGAGTGTTTCGTACCTCCTCTCATGACAATTCTTCATTAAGAGCTCCCAGCTTTTTTCTTAAAACTATACCCCCCAGACCCCCGGAGCTACGTTCTCATCAAGAAAAGTTTGTAGCCACCAGCGCTTTCTTGATCACACGGAGGGAAAAAAACGCGGGCCCTCCCTGAAAAATTGTAATTATAGAGTGGTTCCAAAAAGCTCTGGGACGAGAACGTAGCACCGGGGGGTTTGGGGGGCGGCGCCAGAAATTGGGGACTGCATAAACAATGATTATGAGAGGTTTCTTCCCTCAGGAAGATTCATTAATTTTTTATGATTCTGGGTAGTGTTCCATACCTCCCAGAAGACGTCCTTTCATGATAATTCTTCATTAACAGCCCCCAGTTTTTTTTGTACCCCCGGTGCTACGCTCTTATCTCAAAACGTTTACAGCCACCTGGTCATTCTTCAGGAAGAGTCTCCGATTTCTTCTTGTAACTGGGGTTTATTCCATACCCTCCAGACCCCCGGTGCTACGTGCTCATCAGGAAACGTTTGTAGCCACCAGCGCTTTTTTGATCACACGGAGGGAGGAAATCGCGGGCCCTCCCTGAAGAAGTATAATTATAGCTCCAGTGGTTCTAAACGTTTGGGGATGAGAACGTAGCACTGGGGGTATGGAAACCCCCCCCCCCCCCAGCACAAGAAATGCATAAACAATGATTATGAGCGGATTCATTCTTAAGGAAGGTTCACTACTTTTTTTTGATTCTGGAGTGTCCCATACCTTCCAAAAGACCTCTCCTCATGATAATTCTTCATTAAGAGCCCCCAAAAACTGGGGGGTATTCCAGACCCCCCCAGTAGTGCGCTGTCATGATCATTCCCTAGGAAGATGCCACAATTTCTAACCCCCAGACCTTCCGGTGCTAGGTTCTGGTCACAAAATGTTTGCATTCACCGGTGCTCTCTTGATCATTCTTCAGGAAAATCCCCCAATTTTTTCTTAAAACCGGGAGGGGGGGGGGTCCACGCCATTCCGTGCTACGTTCATGTTCAAGTATTCGATACCTGAGGTTCGTGGTGAGGAATCATCATGAGAGTCGATGGCCTTAAACGCCCCGTAACTCGGCGAGGAGCGATGTCCCCCAGATAGACAAATTGAGAGCTTTTCCTAATGAATTGTCATGACAGCGGCAGTGGTTCTATAAGTTTCGGAGAGAACAACGTACCACCAGGGCAATAACCCCAGAATAAGAAACTGGGGGTTGACTAAACAATTCATTCTTCAGGAAGATTCACCAATTTCTTCTGGTGCTACATTCTCGTCCTGTCTCACGATCATTCTTTAGCAAGTGCCCCCAATTTCTTCTTATAACAGGGGGGGTACATACATTTTGCGTTGACAACGTAGCACTGCCCCCCCCCCCTGCCTAAACAGTGATTATGAGATGATTCACGCTTTAGGAAGATCCACAATCTTTTCTGATCCTGAGGAGTGTGCCATGCCCCCAATTTCTTCTTACAGCTGGGGGGGGGGGGCATTCGCACTACCTTCTCGTTCCATAACGTTTACAATCCAGCCCCCAATTTCTTATTATCCCAAGGACAAATTGGTGGTTTTCCCTAAGGAGTTATTGTGAGAGCGCCAGTGGTTCTATACCTTGGGGGGGGGGGCGTACGACCGGTGGTCAGGGGATTCCTATCCCCCCACCCCACTAGAAATTGCCTAAACAATTTTTAAGAGGATTCATTCTTCAGGAAAATCCCCCAATTTCTTCTTAAAACACCCTCCGGTGCTACGTTCTCGTTACAACAAAACGTTGACAGCACCAGCGCTCCCATGATCAGCCTGAGGGAGGGGAATGTCCTCAGGATAAGGAACAATTACAGGCCCTCCCAGAAGAATTATAATGAGAGTGACGGCGGTTTTGAACGTTGTGGGGTGAGAACGTACGGAAAATCCCCCAGGATGTATAGGTATTTGGGGGCTCTTTGTAAACAATGATCATGAGAGGACTCACCACGTTTTTCTGATCCTCCCAAACCCTCCCGGCGTCCCCCTGATTCCTGATCCTACCCTTCTTCACTGCCCTCCCACTTTTCCAACACAAAACTCCCGTTCGTTTTAAATCGACTAGGTACGTCCTATACTACAAACTAACCAAAATTGTACAAAACTAACGACACCGCCCATCACTTTCCCACGTACTCGAGCAATTGATGTGTCAGTGTTTAATTTTGTACACAGAGATTAGATAAGATTGTCCCCGTCAGTCTCGACTGATACACAGAGTGCGTGCCGACCTTCCCTACCTGTAACGTGCTTCATCGGACGTGGTGGAAGTGAAAGACGAACAGTCCTGCTGCCTTTGCGCCCACTGCGTTCTGACCTCGTCTTGCGCGCGTTGCTTTAACGCCAATACTCTACGCCGCTCCTCTTCAATTACTTGAGAGCCTGAAAGGAGGGGTTTGGGAGCTTTTTTTGGAGAGCGGCGACCTTTACCTTGTTGTACTAAATGCAGCTGCCGATTACGTTCAATCTCCTTCAGCGACTCAATCGTCTTCTTGCCCAACGACCCTCGACCGTCCTCAATGTTCATGGGGGCGTTCGACGTGACCTTACTTATTCGATCGATGTCGTCCTGCGACGGACACCTTCTAGCTGAAACGGGAACTCTCAATTCGACAAAACCAAGCGCGCACTAACTCACCGACGCCGTCTTCTATAACGGAGTGCTCTTGAAGCATTTTCTCATTGAACGACTTGGACATGTCGTACGCGTCGCCGTTCTTCGTCCGCGAGCTCGTGTCGATAAAGGAGCAGCTCATGTGCTGCACCTTTTCGCTTTCGCTGTCGCTCGAGACCTCCTGGTCCGATTCCTCCTTCGCAAACGTGTTGAGCTCCGCCTCGAGCGCCTTGAGCTTGCCGCGTTGCTCCTCGAGCCTGCGCGCGCACTTGATCAGCTGCCTTTCGAGCGTTTTCGACTCGCGCGCGCTGCACGTGTTCGCGTCGAGCTTCTGCTGTTCGAGATCGCCGACCTGCGTCCTAAGTACGTCGAGCCGCTGGCCGAGGTCTACGATTTCGCGCTGAATTTCCTCGCGACTCGCCAACCAGTCGGCCTCCTCCTCCAAGTGGTGAAACTCGAGATCCTCGAACGTTTTCCGCTCGTTGTCCAGGACCTCTTGCGCGCAGAGGAACTCCTCGAAGATCTCCTGGTACTCGTCGCTCGATTTCGCGACCGAGTTCAGCCGCTCCTCGACCTTGGCCATGCTGTCCTGAGCGTGCTCGAGCTTCCGCCGGCAGTTCTCCTGGTGCTCGACTTGCGTCACCTGACAGTCCTCCATTTTTCGCTCAATTTCGCGCGCGCCCTCCGCGAGCTTCTGCTTGCGCCGCTCGAGCTCATCGATTTCGACCAGCTTCGACTTGTGCTCGCCTATGATGAGCGCCCGTTCCATTTCGAGCTCGCGATTCAACTCCTCCTCCTGCAGCTCGATCTCCGCCATTTTTCGCTTGATGTGCGCCATCGCCGTTAGTATCTCCTGCTTTTCGCGCTTGAGCGTTTCCATTCGTCTCCTGTCGCTCTCGTGGGACGCCTTGCGATCGTACGAGTCGTGGTGGTAGGATGGGAAACTGTCGATGGGGTGGAGGAACTTCGTCGGTGTGGGCTTCCGCGTCGTCACGTCGACGTTGTCCCCATTTTCGGAGCCTTTGTTCTGGAGAAGGTACTGTTCTGCGTTGACGATGGCGAATTTGGTATCGATAAGCTGAGCTGCGTCCTTCGGGGAGCTGAAATTGTACTTGGTGATAGAATACTCTCATGATTAGAGGCACTTACGGTTCTCTGTTAACGGTTGGGATGGTCTTAATTCGTGTCCGAGGAGAGTGGGGGTAAGGACTGCTGGTTTCGTGACTAATCGTAATATTCTCATATTGACTGAAGGTGTTGGGTGTTGGATGAGAAACCTCAATATTTTCATAGTAGAGACGCGGGCTCGCATTGTTAATCGTCACATTTTCGTAGTTGTGGTTATTCGGTCGTAGATCGGAGTCGAATTTAAATATCGGACTATCCTTCGAACCTGGTGATGGCGTCGCGTGATTCGGCGATGGTGAACCGAATGGGCTCGGCGGACATTGCCTTTTATCCCGTGGTAGCGAGCCGTTTGTTTTTATGCGATTAGGGATCGGTTTGTTCGTTTTTTCCCACTGCACTTGCCTTTCGTATTCGGCGCACATGTTCAAAATTTCTTCCAGACGGGCCTGTTCGGCCTTTTCAATCTCTTGCTCTTTCAAACGATCGACATGCGCCTGTAAGCACCAATTCAAACTAAAAAAAAACTAACCACCACCAAAAGGTGAGTGTTATATTTGCGAATTGATAAGCTCTTATCAGTAGATTACGTATGGAGAGGAAGTATTTACACGCCTTCCGGTGGGATCTTTTCCAATGCAATCAAAAAACCACGAATCATTTCGGGTTTTTCTATCGTGTCTTACTGTCATTTGACAATTTGTGACTGCCAACTGCCAATAAATATTGACAAAAAAGTGTCAACTTAAAAGTGAAATGTGCCATAATGACAAATACTAAGCACATTTACCTACTGACATTTCATCTACCAATTCAAGTATAATCTGATAACTGTCAATTGGCAATTAACATTAGAATTTGTCAATAATAATAATAATACAAATACTGTCAACTGACATTATTACATCAGGTAACACAATTTGTCAAATTTGCATCTGTCGATTGATTTCTGTCGTGTACCTGTCAATAGGCATGAAGGCTGCTCTACCAACAGTATACACTTCCAAAAAGCTAGATTCGAACCAAGGGTGCTCAGTGCCGTAGTCAAGCATCATCTCGACAGATTGACACTTACTATCTGATGACTATTCGCCCTTAGTATCAGTCAGTTGACAGAGTATCTGTTAATTGATAGTCAGTATTTAATAATTGACTACAATTAACAGATTCTAAGTGCCATTGGACAGTACTAAGTGGGAATTTCCAGGCGATATCGAATGAGATAGTATCAATTAACGAACAGTACCTAAGCATGAAATTAGGCATTCAAAATCTAGAAATCTAGTGATAAAATTAGGAGAAATCCTTCGAAAATTAAGTGATCCAAAAATTCTGTGCGCAAGTTTTTAATTGAGTTACAAATTTGAAGCACTTTAAGCGGAAATTAGGCTTCAATTGGACTAAAAATTAAATCTAAAAATCAAGGGATTAAATTAGAAAAAATCCTTTGAAATTTAACTAATCCACACAATTCTGTACGTGAATCGTTAAGTTAAATTTAATTGAGCTGCAAATTTGAAGCACTTTCAAGCGAAAAAAAGCTTCAATTGGACTCAAAATTAAATCTAAAAATCAAGGGACAAAATTAGAAGAAATCCTTTGAAAATTAACTGATCCAAAAATTTTTCTACGTTAATCGTTAAGTTAAATTTAATTGGGGTACAAATTTGAAGCACTTTCAGCGGAAATTAGGCTTCAATTGAACTAAAAATTAAATCTAAAAATCAAGGGATAAAATTAGGAAAAATCCTTTGAAATTTAACTAATCCAAACAATTCTGTACGTGAATCGTTAAGTTAAATTTAATTGGGGTGCAAATTTGGAGCACGTTAAACGGAAATTAGGCTTCAATTGTAGTCAAAACTAAAATTAAAAATCAAGGGATACAATTAGGAGAAATCCTTCGAAGATTAAGTGATCCAAACAATTCTGTACATTAATCATTAAGTTAAATTTAATTGAGCTGCAAATTTAAAGCGTTTTCAGCGGAAATTAGGCTTCAATTGTAATCAAAATTAAATCTAAAAATCAAGGGATAAAAATTAGAAGAAAACCTTTGAAAATTAACTGATCCAAAAAATTCCCTACGTTATTCCTTAAGTTAAATTTAATTTAGCTGCAAATTTAAAGGCGTTTTCAGCGGAAATTAAACTTCAATTGTAATCAAAATTAAATCTAAAAATCAAGGGACAAAATTAGAAGAAATCCTTTGAAAATTAACTGATCCAAAAAATTCCCTACGTTAATCCTTAAGTTAAATTTAATTGAGCTGCAAATTTAAAGCGTTTTCAGCGGAAATTAGGCTTCAATTGTAGTCCAAATCAAAATTAAAAATCGAGGGATACAATTAGGAGAAATCCTTCGAAGATTAAGTGATCCAAACAATTCTGTACGTTATTCATTAAGTTAAATTTAATTGAGCTGCAAATTTAAAGCGTTTTCAGCGGCAATTAGGCTTCAATTGTAATCAAAATTAAATCTAAAAATCAAGGGACAAAATTAGAAGAAATCCTTTGAAAATTAACTGATCCAAAAAATTCTCTACGTTAACCGTTAAGTTAACTTTAATTGGGGTGCAAATTTGAAGCACGTTAAGTGGAAATTAGGTTTCAATTGTAGTGAAAACCAAAATTAAAAATCGAGGGATACAATTAGGAGAAATCCTTCGAAGATTAAGTGATCCAAACAATTCTGTACATTATTCATTAAGTTAAATTTAATTGACCTGCAAATTTAAAGCGTTTTCAGCGGAAATTAGGTTTCAATTGTAATCAAAATTAAATCTAAAAACCAAGGGATAAAAATTAGAAGAAATGAAAATTAACTGATCCAAAAAATTCCCTACGTTAATCCTTAAGTTAAATTTAATTGAACTGCAAAGTTAAAGCGTTTTCAGCGGAAATTAGGCTTCAATTGGACTCAAAATTAAATCTAAAAACCAAGGGATAAGAAAAATCCTTTGAAAATTAACTGATCCAAAAAATTCTCTACGTTAATCGTTAAGTTAAATTTAATTGGGGTGCAAATTTGAAGCACTTTAAGCGGAAATTAGGCTTCAATTGTAGTCAAAATTAAAATTAAGTGATCCAAACAATTCTGTACATTAATTATTAAGTTAAATTTAATTGAGCTGCAAATTTAAAGCACTTTCAGCTGAAATTAGGCTTCAATTGTACTCAAAATTAAATCTAAAAATCAAGGGATAAAATTAGAAGAAATCCTTTGAATATTAACTGATCCAAAAATTTGTCTACGTTAATCGTTAAGTTAAATTTAATTGAGCTGCAAATTTGAAGCACTTTCAAGGGAAAAAAAGCTTCAATTGGACTCACAATTAAATCTAAAAACCAAGGGATAAGAAAAATCCTTTGAAAATTAACTGATCCAAAAAATTCTCTACGTTAATCGTTAAGTTAAATTTAATTGGGGTGCAAATTTGAAGCACTTTAAGCGGAAATTAGGCTTCAATTGTAGTCAAAATTAAAATTAAGTGATCCAAACAATTCTGTACATTAATTATTAAGTTAAATTTAATTGAGCTGCAAATTTAAAGCACTTTCAGCTGAAATTAGGCTTCAATTGTACTCAAAATTAAATCTAAAAATCAAGGGATAAAATTAGAAGAAATCCTTTGAATATTAACTGATCCAAAAATTTGTCTACGTTAATCGTTAAGTTAAATTTAATTGAGCTGCAAATTTGAAGCACTTTCAAGGGAAAAAAAGCTTCAATTGGACTCACAATTAAATCTAAAAACCAAGGGATAAGAAAAATCCTTTGAAAGTTA